CCACTCCCCGCTGCTTTCGTCGCCTGGACGACCTCTTTCGTCAGCGCTTCGGCCCGTCGCCAGACCTCCCGGACTGGCACAGTTTGCTTAGTCGTCAGATTCAGATCTTTGATGTGGACATGGATGCCATTGTTTCTGCTCTGCATGTGATGTATGCTGATGACTCTAGTGTGCTTCCGACTTATTACTCACTGTTGCCTAGTGTAGGTGTGCCTAGCTTAGCCTCCCCTGCTGCGTCAGGCGTAGGATCCCCTGCTTTGTGTAGTCTTGGTGCTTCTGCCGTCGTTCCGTCGCCAGACCCCTCGGCTTCGCTTTCCTTCAACTTGGACTCTGGCGCCTCTCGGTGTTTCTTCCGCGACTCCACCACCCTGACGCCGCTTCCTGTTCCTGTTGCTGTTTCTCTTTCTGACCCCTCCGGCGGTCCGGTAGTCGCCCGCAGTTCCACCACCCTTCCCTGTCTGGTGGTTCCTTCGGGCTCTCTTACAGGTCTGCATATCCCCTCGTTCTCCAGGAACCTAGTTGGTGTCGGCTGCCTCCAGGACCTTGGCGTCACCACTACGTTCCCTGGTCACGAGCGGTATGCTGTCTGTACCGAGGCCGCCACTGGTGCCCCCCTGTCCACGTTCCCCCGGGACCCGGTGTCCGGCCTGTTCACTCTGGACACCGTGCCCCCCCCGGCTGGAGCGCCCCCTCAGGTGGCTGTGTCTACCCAGGTTGCTGCTGCCTGCTCCTGTCGCTCCCTCACTCACCCGACCCTCCTGTGGCACCACCGCCTAGGTCACCCTGCGCTCCCGCGTCTGCGTCACATGTCCCAGCACGGTCTTGTCCTTGGTCTCCCAGGTTCACTCCCCGCGTTTCCCTCCTCCCCAGCTCCACCTTGCACGCCTTGTGTCGAGGGTCGGCTTCGCCGTGCCCCTCACTCCTCCTCGTTCCCCCCTACCGCCGCGCCGCTGCAGACCCTGCACCTGGACGTCTGGGGCCCCGCCCCCGTCCCTGGGCCGCGTCGCGAGCGCTACTTCCTTGTGCTTGTCGACGACTTCACTCGTTACACCACAGTCTTTCCCCTGGAGCGCAAGGCCGACGTGCCTGGCGCCCTCATCCCCTGGCTTGTCTCTGCGCGTGTCCACCGCGGTCTCCCTGTCTTGCGTCTTCACTCAGACCGTGGTGGCGAGATTGCCTCAGGTGTCCTTGGTCGCTTTTGTCGTGCGGAGGGCATCACCCAGACGTTCACCCTACCGGACTCCCCACAACAGAATGGGGTCGCTGAGCGACGCATCGGCTTGGTCATGGAGGTCGCTCGCACCTCCATGGTCCATGCCGGTGCACCCCATTTTCTGTGGCCGTTCGCTGTGCGCTACGCTTCTCACCAGCTTAACCTGGGGCCGCACCCTCAGCAGCCGCAGGTTTCGCCGACCCGTCTGTGGACTGGGTCTCCTGGTGACGCGTCTGCGTTCCACGTCTGGGGCTGCCTTGCTCACGTCCGTGCCTCCGGCACGGACAAGCTCACTGCCCGCACCCTTCCCTGCGTCTTCCTCGGTTTTCCCCTTGACGCGTCCGACTGACACTTTTACCACCCGCCGTCTCACCGCTTCTTTCACTCTCGTGACGTCACCTTTGACGAGTCCGTCTCCTACTACCGCCGCTTCCCCCACCGTGGTCCCCCGGTTACCCCCCCCCTGTTCCTGGTCACCCCTTCCCCGGTAGTCCCTGCCCCTCCTCCTCCTCCTCCCCGTCCCGCCCCCTCTGGTGTCTCCCATGTCACCCCCCTTCCGTCCGTGGACCCAGTTGAGGAGTCTTCTGACTCTGGTGGCCCTCCGGTGCAGTCCTCGCCGGCCGCCCCTCCCCAGGTGTCCCCTCCCCAGTCCCCTCCTCCGCCGTCCCTGCCGCCACTGCAGCCGTCGCCGTCGCCGCCGCCGCCGCCGCCGCCGCAGTCGCAGCCCCCGTTCGCTGACTCTGGGGGTGCTCGTCCCGGTCGCCCTGAGGGTGGTCCCTCTGGGGGTGCGGGTGTGGAGAGTGCCGGTGGTAGCCGAGGAGCAGCTTGCGGTCCAGGTGTCGCCGTTGTGCCGCCGCAGCAGCAGTCCCCGCCGGTGTCCGCCCTTCGCCTGCTCGGCCTTCCGTCCCCCGACCCTGCGTCGGTTCCTCCCCGACCGTCTCCTCCTCTTCCTGTCTATGGCCCTGTTTTCCCTCCGCCGGACTCGTCCCCGGCCCGTCTCCCCCCTCGTTCCCCTCCTGTGTCCCCTCCCCTGTCTCCTGACCCGACTCCTCCATCGCACGTCTGGTCTCACCGTCCCTCCCGTGCTCGTCCTGCCTCGCCTGTCCTGCGCTCCCACCCTATGTTGCTTCGTTCACACGCATCTCGTCCTCCCCTTCTGCCGTCGCCTCCTCCGTCCTCCCTTGTTGTTGCGCCCCCCCCGCTGTCCGACTACCTTCGTGCCGCTCGTCCTCTCGTTCCTCGGGTCCTTGCCTCTCTCGTTACCGACCCGTCTGTTCCGACCTCGTGCCTTGACGCTCTTGTCGCTGCTGTCGCTGACTTCGCCTCTACCCGCCGCCTTGACTACGCCACCGCTCTGGTCTCTGACCCTGCCTGTCCTCCGTCTGTCGGGGGTGCTCCTGCCCTTGGCAGTGACGTCCTGGAGGACCGCCAGTTCGAGCTTGCTTTCCTCTCCGAGGCTGCTCCCCATCTCTGTTCCATGCTGCTAGTCCCTGAGGGTGACCCAGACGCTTTCGACATCCCGACCCCTCGCACTTACGCTGAGGCGACTTCGGGACCCTGGGCCTCGCAGTGGATAGCTGCCATGGAGCAGGAGATGGCATCTTGGAGATCCACCGGCACCTTCGTCGACGCAGTTCCCCCACCTGGGGTGAACGTAGTCGATGGCCGCTGGCTCTTCAAGGTGAAGCGCCCTCCTGGAGAGCCGCCTGTCTTCAAGGCGCGCTATGTGGCTAGAGGCTTCAGTCAGCGCGAGGGGGTGGACTTCTTCCAGACTTTCGCTCCGACCCCGAAGATGACTACTCTTCGGGTTCTATTACACCTAGCTGCTCAGCGTGACTACGAGCTTCACTCCCTCGACTTCTCCACTGCCTTCCTTCAGGGCAGCCTACACGAGCAGGTCTACCTGCGCCGCCCTCCGGGCTTTACTGGCACCTTCCCTCCTGGGACCCAGTGGCTCCTGCGGCGCCCCGTCTACGGCCTGCGCCAGGCTCCCCGTGAGTGGCACGACACTCTGCGTGCTACGCTTGCTGACCTGCAGTTCTTTCCGTCTTCTGCAGACCCTTCACTCTTCGTTCGTGCTGGCCAGACTCCGTTCTACATCCTCGTTTACGTCGACGACCTGGTCTTTGCCACAGCAGACAGGGACGCGCTGGCCTCCGTGAAGGCAGAGCTGCTGAAGAGACACACCTGCACTGACCTTGGAGAACTGCGCCGTTACCTTGGCTTGCAGATCTCCAGGGACAGAGCTGCGCGCACCATCACCCTGACTCAGTCACACTTGGTGCGCCAGGTCCTTCAGAGGTTCAGCCTTCAGTTCTCCTCTGCACAGCCCACCCCTCTGCCTGTAGACTACAGGCTCTCCGCTCCAGTGCCTGAGGAGTTGGTAGAGCCCAGCGGCCCCTACGCAGAGCTGGTGGGTTGCCTCATGTACCTGATGACTTGCACTCGCCCAGATCTCGCATACCCTCTCAGCATCCTGGCTCGCTTTGTGGCCACAGGCAGACACCGACCGCAGCACTGGTCTGCCGCTAAGAGGGTTCTGCGTTATCTTGCTAGTACATCGGGCATGGGGTTAGTGCTAGGAGGACGCAGGCCAGCGGTCCTTACTGGGCACACAGACGCTTCGTGGGCAGACGACGCTGAGACACTCCGGTCTACCCAGGGCTACTGCTTCAGCCTTGGCTCAGGTGCCGTCTCGTGGAGAGCTACTCGCTCCTCGTCTGTTGCACAGTCCAGCTGTGAGGCTGAGATCTACGCCGGTGCCATGGCGGCACAGGAGCTCCGCTGGCTGACCTTCTTGCTCACTGACTTAGGTGAGCGACCTAGCTCTGCCCCGGTCCTGTTCGCTGACAACAGGGCCATGATCCTCCTGTGTCAGGAGCCTCGACTCGAGGGCAGAGCGAAGCACATTCAGCTGCGGTACTTCCTCATGCGTGAGCTACAGCAGCGACGTCAGGCTCGCGTAGTACACTTGGCCTCAGGTGCCAACACGGCTGATATCTTTACGAAGGCGCTTGCGCCTAAAGATCATCAGCGGCACTGTGTACAGCTTGGTCTAGTTCCTGTAGCCTCTCACTTGCTAGGACCTTGACCTTGTACTGTCCTTTATATGTATACTCAGACTGGACTTGTGTCCTCTCCCAGTGGCTGGACTAGTAGTGCCGCCCTGCTCTTGTGCTTGCCTTGTCTGTACTCCTTCTGACCGGTCGCTCAGACCCTTGCCTCAGAGGTTGGACTAGTAGTGCCGCCCTGAGCTGCTTGTTTAGGGTATTCCCCTATGCAGTCTAGGGGGTGTGTCAAACATGTGTATTTGTCATGTTTGTATAGACTGTATAGAGTCACCTCTTAGAGGATACAAAACTTAGATATATTTGTGTGTACTCTCACTTTACCGTTATTCAATTATTCTGATACTGTGTACAGCTTGGTCTAGTTCCTGTAGCCTCTCACTTGCTAGGGCCTTGACTTTGTATTGTCCTTTATATGTATACTCAGACTGGACTTGTGTCCGCTCCGAGTGGCTGGACTAGTAGTGCCGCCCTGGTCTTGTTCTCGCCTTGTCTGTACTCCTTCTGACTGGTCTCTTAGACCCTTGTCTCAGAGGTTGGACTAGTAGTGCCGCCCTGAGCTGCTTGTTTAGGACATTCCCCTATGCAGTCTAGGGGGTGTGTCAAACATGTGTATTTGTTATGTTTGCATAGACTGTATAGGGTCACCTCTTAGAGGGTACAATACTTAGGTATATCTATCTGTACTCTCCCTCACCCATCATTCACTTCTCTCAGTTTGATACTCATTACGATCTTCCTCGAGTGTGGTGTTTACACTTCAGAAACGCTGTAGTCCTCGAGATATGTCCAACACACCACTCCTTACTTTCATCTAGCAGGCAACTCAATACGGTGAGTGGACTGAACGAGCACAGCCACATTCCACATCCCAGACCAGAAGCAAATACTCCTGTGGTTAAATTGCACTACATAACATGTATACTTTCCACTTGGCATGCTAGTAGTAGCCCTCCGTGCACCCCAACCCCATCTACGAGTCGCTCTTGGGCTTGTCCTTCTTTTCCTTCTTGGCTGTGCGCTTCCACTCGCCGGGTTGGTCGAGCACCTCGCCTGTCTTGAGCAGGTACCGCACCTTGCGCCCGTCCTCTAGCACCTTGTGCCCCACTCGGCTCGCCACCTTCTGCTGCTTCGAGTACAGAGCCACGTTCGAGCTGTGGATCGGCGCCTCAATCTGCAGCACATGCACCGATTCAAGGCATCACAGGAACATGCAGTGGAGTTTGTACACAGCAGAGGAAACGGAGGGAAGTCAAGAGAGTCAGGGTGATCAGCACAATGGATCTCGTGCTGGTAGCCACTAACTGAAGAATGCGAACTCCCTTCATCTCGCGCTGGTAGCCACTAACAGCCATGCAGGTGGTGCACCATTCAGCCACACGTTTATTGTTACTCCAGGTGACTCACACCCACCCACCCACCTGGATGATTTGGCCAGCCTCGCCCTCGGCCTTGCCCTTGACGTGCTTGGTCTTAATGTTGATGTCGCGGCACAGCACCTTCGAATTGTGGTTGATCACGCGCACCACCTCCGTCACCTTGCCCTTGTCCTTGCCCGCGATCACCTGCCACCACTCACGCGCGCGGGGGGGAAGGGGGGGAGGGGGCGAAGGGGGGAGAAGTGGGGGAGGGTACAACACAGGGCCGTCAGGCTGGTGGACTCATAGCGTAAGTTCGGTTGAGAGAGGCGCGGAAAGGGGGGCGGTCCTCCCCCTGTCCGCTACCCGATTCAACGCTGCAGCATTCGCATCATGGTTGTTGACCATCAATTATACCTGTGCTGAACCATTACCTACTCTGTCCCCCACCCTGTTACCTCTCCCGCCCCTGCTCCCCCTGTTGCGCGATGCAGAGCGGCGACGAGCAGGCATGTGCACCATACGCGGCCTTGAGCATGGCAAACTGTGGACTACCCTGCAGCTGACGTGGACTAGGCGCGTGGAGAAGCAACCAGCACTGTGTGCGGTCGCACCTGCACGGTGTCGTCCAGTCGCACGCACCTGCACGGTGTCGCCCACTTGCACGTGCAGCTTGTGGCGCACGGGCAGGCTGTTGTCCTTCACCTCCTTGCGCTCCCACCGCTTGATCTGCACGTATTGGAGCGCCGAAAGAGGGAACGCGCGAGAGAACAGTGGAGGCAGCGCGCATAGGCTTAGGGGACCATGGAGGGAATGGGAATAGCGGCTGCGGCGTGAGGAATGAGCGAGGGAGGCGAAACAGGAGGGGGGACGAGAGGGCTAACACGAGGCGGGCATGCACGGAAAGGCAAAGGAGGAGGGAAAGCGTGAGAGGACTGGAGCCTGTAATGTCGCAAGGGGTGTGGGTGACGGGGAGGGCGGTAAGGACGGGTGCAGGTTGGGGGGGTGGAGGGGGCGGGGAGACAGGAGGTGGAGAAAGATGCAGGGGAAGAGGAACTTACAGCCATGCGAACGACTGACGGCCCGGCAAGAGGTTGCGCGGTCATCTGCGAACAACAAAGCACACGAGAACGGGAGGCACGGCGAAGAGCGGTGAGGGACGGTGGAGTGCGACGGACCCACGCAGAGTGGAGGTGAAGGGGTTTAAGTGCACTACGAAAGGGCGTGTGGGACGGACGACACTGGACTCGTCGCCACGCATTCTATCGAGGGGCTTTAATACAGCAATGTATGCTCCGTGCAGCTTCGTGTGCTCTCGAGCGTTCCCCCAGCTGGGGATGATCCACGCGAAACCTCAAACCCTCGCACCAGGAAAAAACTACAGTTGGAAATTACTAAATTAAACGTCACTATAGCTCTGGAAATCCCGGGAAGCGAGACGGAGGTAAGCAGCGTCGGCCAGTGCAGCGAGGCAAAGGGAGAACACAAGAACGGGACCGGGGCGAGTGCGCGAGTAACACGTACAGGCTTGGCTGCTAGCGACGAGCCAAAGAGGCCGCTTTTGGCGGACGGTGTCAATTGCACGGCCGCCATGCTGCTGCTCAGACCAGCGAGAGCCGCCATGTGGATCGAAGTAGCGAATAGGACTAGGGCGTCAGGAGGTCGACACTAGACAGCTTGCCTTGAGGTAAGAAAGGCGAGAGGCAGGAGGCAAGGTGGAGTGGTGGGATCAAGGCGAGGGGAGGAGAGGCGATAGGCTGTGGCGGAAAACCATTTCCCCCGGGCCCCCCTCCCTGTCAACCCATCTGGAGGGCCGGAGGTTGCATTCTCCGCTCCTCCATCAATTCGCGCGCATCCACCCGCGGAGCTCACCTCTTCCCCCACCCCCCCCCACCCCATCCCCCCCCTCAGAAGATTGAAATGGGTCAAGGGAACCCTCATGGCTGGTGGCTGCAAGCGCAGGCCAACGGAGGAAATCGGTTTCATTGGCATTCGCAAGGCCCTTTCCGGCTGACGTGGAAAGTTGGAAGTTGTCGACGTCACTTCTAAAAGAGTTCAGAACATCGAATGGAATCACCAAAGTGTAGCTAAACTGAGAAACGAGGTTCATACAAATGAGGGCAACATGAGAGACACAAAAGTCCTACAGTAAGGAAACAACATTTCATTAACATGAAGGGGTTCCTGTGATTTCTATTACATTCGCCTGAGCCTTGTTATCCAAATGTGGCGTACAACGAGCCACATGCAGTGTGGAAGCGCGATGCACATTCTTGCTCGTTGACTGTGCTGAGCCCGTTTTCCCATCACATGTCCGAGCTCTGTCAAGCTTGCTATCAGAAAGAAAATGATTGAACTAGAATGCGTGTGTACAAGAATATATAGACTAGGGTGTTGTACCCTCTAAGGCACAATCCAGAATAGTCTACAGTAACGACCTAAGTTACATTTGACACACCCCCTAGACAACATAGGGGCAGTGCCTAACAAGGGAAGAAGTAGCTAAGGGCGGCACTACTAGTCCAGCCTCTGAGACAAGGGTCTAAAGACCAGTCAAAAGGAGTACAGACAAGGCAAGAGCAAGACCAGGGCGGCACTACTAGTCCAGCCACTGGGAGAGGCCACAAGGCCAGTCTGGGTAAAAAATATATATAAAGGACAGTACCAAGTCAAGGCCCTAGCAAGTGAGAGGCTACAGGAACGAGTCCCAGCTGTACACAGTGCCGCTGATGATCTTTAGGCGCAAGCGCCTTCGTAAAGATATCAGCTGTGTTGGCACCAGAGGCCAAGTGTACTACGCGCGCCTGGCGACGCTGCTGCAGCTTACGCATGAGGAAGTACCGCAGCTGAATGTGCTTCGCTCTGCCCTCGAGTCGAGGCTCCTGACACAGGAGGATCATGGCCCTGTTGTCAGCGTACAGGACTGGGGCAGAGCTAGGCCGCTCACCTAAGTCAGTGAGCAAGAAGGTCAGCCAACGGAGCTCCTGTGCCGCCATGGCACCGGCGTAGATCTCGGCCTCACAGCTGGACTGGGCAACAGACGAGGAGCGGGTAGCTCTCCACGAGATGGCACCTGAACCAAGGTTGAAGCAGTAGCCCTGCAAGGACCTGAGGGTCTCGGCGTCGTCTGCCCAAGAAGCGTCTGTGTGTCCAGTAAGGACCACTGGCCTACGTCCTCCTAGCACTAACCCTATGCCCGATGTACTTGCAAGAAAACGCAAAACCCTCTTAGCGGCAGACCAGTGTTGAGGTCGGTGTCTGCCTGTAGCCACAAAGCGAGCCAGGATGCTGAGAGGGTATGCGAGATCTAGGCGAGTGCAAGTCATCAGGTACATGAGGCAACCCACCAGCTCTGCGTAAGGACCACTGGGCTCTGCTGACTCCTCAGGAACTGGAGCGGAGAGCCTGTGGCCGCAGCGACCGCAGCGACAAGGGCGTCAAGGCTCGAAACCGGAATAGACGGGTCGGTAACGAGAGAGGCAAGGACCCGAGGAACAAGAGGACGAGCGGCACGCAGGTAGTCAAACAGAGGGGGGGGAGCAACGACAAGGGAGGACGGAGGGGGCGACGGGAGAAGGGGAGGACGAGACGCGTGGGAACGAAGCAACATAGGGTGAGAGCGAGAGACAGGGGAGACATGTCGAGCACGGGAGGGACGGCGAGACCAGACGTGAGACGGGGGAGTCGGGTCAGGAGACAGAGGAGGGGACACAGGAGGGGAACGAGGGGGTAAACGAGCCGGAGACGCGTCCGGAGGAGGGAACATAGGGCTGGAGACAAGAGGAGGAGGAGGCACGGGCACGGGGTCAGAGGACGGAAGGCCGAGCAGGCGAAGAGCGGACACCGGCGGGGACTGCTCTGATGGCGGTGTGACACCGACATCGGGACCGCAAGCTGCCGGGCGGCTACCTCCAGAACACTCCACACCAGCACCCCCAGAAGAAACACCCCCAGAGCTCAGAACCCCTTGAGCACCGGTACCACCCCCAGGCGTGCCGGGACAAGCCACGACAGGAGTCCTAGGACTAGTACCCACCCCAACTCCAGCACCCCCAGAGGCAACCAACTGCTGCGGCGACGGCTGCGGCGGCGGCGATCGCAATGACGGATGCGGCGACGGCGGCGGCGGTGACGACGGCTGCGACAGCGGTGGCGATTGCGGCTGCGGAGGCGGCGGAGTAGGAGACACCTGAGAAGGAGCAGGCGGCGAGGACTGCGCCGCAGGACTACCAGAGTCAGTAGACTCCTCAACTTGTACAACCGACGTAAATGGGGTGACGTGGGACACACCAGAGGGGGCAGGACAGGGAGGGGGAGGAGGGGCGGCGACGACCGGGGAAGGGGTGACCAGGAACAGGGACGGGCGCGACCGTCAGGGGGCCGGCTAGGAGCGATCGGGACGGTCAGGGGGCCGGCTAGGAGCAGGCGCGACGGCCAGGGGGCCAGCTAGAGACGGGCGCGATGGCCAGGGGGCCGGCTAGGGACGAGCGCGACGGCCAGGGGGTCGGCTAGGGACAGGCGCGAACGACCAGGGGGCCGGCTAGGGACGAGCGCGAACGGCCAGGGGGCCGGCTAGGGACGGGCGCGAACGGCCAGGGGGCCGGCTAGGGACAGGCGCGAACGGCCAGGGGGCCGGCTAGGGACGAGCGCGACGGCCAGGGGGCCGGCTAGGAACATAGGGGCGGAAGCGTGAGCAGGCTAGGGGGGGGATCTAACCTACTCTGATACCATATCAGAAAGAAAATGATTGAACTAGAATGTGTGTGTACAAGGATATATAGACTAGGGTGTTGTACCCTCTAAGGCACAATCCAGTATAGTCTAAGTTACATTTGACACTTGCTAGCTTGCTTCGTGTCTCAAAATAACAGAATGAACTAGAATGAAGCAGACAGGGTAGTTTTGTGCTGTGTGTTATACTGTCTATAAGCATGCACCTATATAGCCTACAGCAACATAAAAATAAATTGATACACCACCTAGGCTAGACAAGGGGCAGCGACTTGCAAGAGATGCACACCTCAGGGCGGCACGACTAGTCCAACCTATGAGGCAAGGGTTTAAAGACCAGTCAGCAAGAGTACAAGAGTAACCCAGGGCGGCACTACTAGTCCAGCCACAAGAACAAGAGCCACAAGGCCAGTTCAGATAATATATGGAGTACACAATCAGGGTCCTAGCAAGTGAGGAGCTACTGGAACTAGACCAAGCTGTAGAAAGTGCCGCTGATGATCTTTAGGCGCAAGCGCCTTAGTAAAGCTATCATCTGTGTTGGCACCAGAGGCTAAGTGTGCTACGCGGGCCTGACGACGCTGCTGTAGCTTGCGCAGCAGGAAGTACCGCAGCTGGATGTGCTTCGCTCTGCCCTCAAATCGAGGCTCCTGACATAGGAGGATCATGGCCCTGTTGTCAGCGTACAGGACCGGGGCAGAGCTAGGCCGCTCACCTAAGTCGGTGAGCAGGAATGTCAGCCAGCGAAGCTCCTGTGCTGCCATGGCACCAGCGTAGATCTCAGCCTCATAGCTGGATTAGGCAACAGACAACGAGCGGGTGGACCTCCAAGAGATGGCACCAGCACGAAGGCTAAAACAGTAGCACTGGGAGGACATAAGAGTCTCAGCGTTGTCAGCCCACAAACGTCTGTGTTCCCTGTAAGGACCACTAGCCTGCTTCCTCCTAGCACTAGCCCCATGCCCGATATACTTGCTAGATAGCGCAAAACCTCATAGCGGCTGACCAGTGTTGTGGTCGGTGTCTGCCTGTCACCACAAAGCGAGCCAGGATACTGAGAGGGTATGCGAGATCTTGAGGAGTGCAAGTCATCAGGTACATAAGGCAACCCAGTTTTGCGTACAGACAACTAGGCTCCACCGACTCGTCAGGGACTAGAGCAGAGAGCCTGTGATCAACAGGCAAAGGTGTGGGCTGTGCGGAGGAGAACTGAAGGCTGAACCTTTGAAGGACCTGACGCTCCAAGTGTGACTGAGTGAGAGTGATGGTGCACGCTGCTTTGTCCCTGGAGATCTACATGCCAATGTAGCAGCGCAGCACTCCTATGTCAGTACATGTGTATCTCATCAGCAGCTCACAGAGGTCAGTGCGTCTCTGTTTGTAGTAGCAAACACCATGTCGTCTACGTAGACAAGGATGTAGAACCAGGTCTGGCCTGAACGGATGAAGAGCAAAGGGTCTGCAAAGGATGGGAAGAACTACATGTCAGCTAATGTAGCACGCAGCGTGTCGTGCCACTCACGGGGCGCTTGCCGGAGGCCGTAAACTAGGAGCCGGAGAAGCCACTCAGTCCCAGGGGCAAAGGTGCCGGTGAAGCCTATCGGACGGCGCAGGTAGACCTGCTCGTGCAGGCTGCCCTGGGGAAACGCTGTAGAAATTTGAGGGGGTGCAGCTCGTAGTCACGCTGTGCTGCTACGTGTAGCAGTGCCCGAAGAGTGACATCTTCGGGGTCGGGGCGAAGGCCTGAAAGAAGTCAACACCCTCACACTGACTAAAGCCACTAGCAATGTAGTACGCCTTGAACACCGGCGGCTCTTGAGGAGGGCGCTTCACCTTGAAGAGCCACCGGCCATCGACTATGTTCACCCCAGGTGGGGGTACTGCGGCGACGTAGGTGCCGGTGGATCTCCAAGATGCCATCTCCGCGTCCATGGCAGCTCTCCACTGAGAGGCCCAAGGTCCTGAGGTCGCCTCAACGTAGGTGCGAGGGGTCAG